CACTCTTCGATTACAGCTTAAATTAATTTGTGGCATCGTCATTTTTGTCATCCCTTATCTCTTATCCAACAGAAATTATTTTCTTGTTATTCTCTTCGCATTTCTAAATCAAGTAGCTTTATAACTCATTGTGATACTTATCTTAGCAATAAAAGTCATGGATAACCCTTTGGCATATCCTCCATAAATTACTCTAAATAATTTGAAATTATTTATACCGATATTTGAGGCCCTGCCCTAACCATTTCTTTTGACAAATTCATATTTTATATCAATTTTATATATTATTTCACTAATTACATATGGTTATATCATCTTCACCATAAATATGAAGTTATCATAATCTTTACTAACTTGAGAAAGTTGGTCGAGAACTACTTTCAGTCTATAATCAAAATAATTTACTATAATGGTAGAGGTGAATATCAAGCCCTGACATCATATCTCTTAGTTTATGGTAAGTCACCCCCATATACTCCTTAACTAGTTTGCTCTACCGAACGTAAATATCGGCATATAGTTAAAACTAGTCTCACACTTACATCAGGCCTCCATGCCTGTAATATTTTGGTCCGCAGTCTTTCAAACTGTAGCCTACCTCATTAATCGTATACTTACTCTAGTCATATAATATTAGTCATCATTTGAAATAATATTTTACAAACCTCCAAGCATTCAAAAACTTAAAGTATTTGGTTGTTTATGTTATCCATGGTTACGTCCATATGCCTCCCATAAGATAACATCAAGATTTAAGCCTTGCGTCTTCATAGGATACTTACTCTCTTGAACATAATGATTTATGATGCTATAACCTCCAAACCCAAAAAATCTTTATATCACGTCATATTATTGTGGAGTCTACTTTTCTTTTCTAAAACCATAAGTCTCTTATCGTGAAGTCCAACAAATATTCATCATTGGAGTATACCTCTGATCCTATCGGACGAGCCTCCCATGACACCGTCCAATTCTTCCCCTCAAGATCTATACTCTACTGCTACTCCAGTTTAGCAGTTGCCCATTCCCTCCATTACTTCTCCACTTCCTTTTTCTCAAGTTTTCCCGATTGATGAGGCAATATATTCTGAAACACAATAATTGTATTTACCTCCTTCTAGACCTAATGATAGTAAAGCACCTCAGTATGACCCAACCCGTATTAGTGACTCTCTATCACCTATACCAACAACATAATCTTACAATCCCATAGCCTCCGGACATCCAATGACAACACGCTCCAAGAGTTGTATTTTTAAACCATGTCAAGTCCTTGACCTATATGCTATCACAGAATCCTCACCTAAGACTATTGAACCCATTACATTCACTAAAACTCAAAAATCTCTACACTAGTGTAAAGCCATCTGTGAAGAACATGACGCCCTCTTCCATAACTCAATATGGAACATTGTACCTTTTCATCACAAACAAAATATCATCGGGTGTAAGTTAGTCTTTCGAATTAAGTGAAACTTAGATGGATCTGTTACTAGATATAAAGCATGTCTAGTTGCCAAAGGGTTTCATCAACAACCTGGTATTGACTTCACTTAAACATTCAGTCCCATTGTTAAACTCACAACAATCTGACTTATCCTAAGTTTGGCCACCACTAAAGGCTATCAATTATGATAATTGGATGTTAACAATGCCTTTTTATAGGGGAGTCTAATTGAAGACGTCTTTATGCAACAACCTCTTGGTTTCATCCATCCTCAATATCCAAAACATATTTGCAAACTACAAAAAAACTATTTATGGACTTTATTAGATTCCAAGAGCTTGGTACATCGAACTTAGCTGATTTTTTACTTAAATTGACTTTATCAATTCCAAGTCTGATACCTTGTTATTTCTATGATGACAAAATGGAGGCATAATAAATCTTTTGGTATATATGGATGACATTATCGTTATGGGTAATAATCATATCGAGATCCAAGCATTCATCACATATCAATTCTCCCTCAAAGATCTAGGAACCTTGAGTTACCTTTTGGGAGTGGAAGTAATATATACATCTTGAGGTCTCTTCTTGTCATAAAAAAGTACATTCAAGATTTATTATCAAAGATAAACATGCATGATACAAAAGATATTACAACTCCCCTCTTTACTAGTGAATCACCGAAATTATGTGATGAAAGTCCTTCTACGGAACCCACTCAATGTCGACAAGTAATTAGCTTCTTATAATACTTAGCTCTTACTCATCAAGACATCTCATTTGCAGTCAATAAATTATCATAATTTATGCATCGACTATCTACTTCGCATTGGTCTATAGTCAAATGAATTCTATAATATCTTAAAGGGACCCTCAATAATGACCTCTTTCTCCATAAACACTCTCCACTCAATCTTCGTGCCTTTGTCGATGCTAATTGGGTGAGAAACTTTGATGATAGAACATCCACGTCGAGGTATATTATCTTTCTTAGAGCTAATCTAATCAGTTGGAGTTCTAAGAAGCAAAAGACAATTGTATGGTCTACAACTGAGGCTGAATACCGTGCCATCGTCACTACTACTACAGAACTTAATTGGGTCACAAATATACTTAAGGAACTCAACATCGACTCCACTCTTACTTCTACAATATATTGTGATAATATCAGAGTTACCTACCTATGTGTCAATCTAGTGTTCTACTCCCATATGAAACATATTGTCATCGACTTCCACTTTGTACGAGATTAAGTTGTCCAACATCAACCACGTGTTTCTCACGTACATAAGGCTAATCAACTAACAGACTCATTCACGAAGCCTCTCGTCTGTAAACTATTTTTATTGCATCGATCTAAGATCGACATCCTTGACAGGAATACCATCTTACGGAGGCATGATAGTAGATAAGATTTTCTCAACTACAAAAGAAAATTTCGTTGCTTTATTAAGAAAAATCTTTCCTATAAATAGGAAAAACACATTTTCTATCACTCAATCACGTTGAATTTTTTTGCACACATGATCTAAACCATATTAAGCTGATTGGAATATCGTTGATGTTCTCCATATCACCTGATGATACTTTATTTATGAACGTTAACCTTGAGCAACTTAAATCATGGATCAGAAATTAATATAAAACAAACGAGGGTTGTGAGAGACATGAATAAAGCATGATGATAGACGACAAGTTAATACAATCTCCGCAACGAAACGAAGTCAGCACGAGGCCCAAACACCATCTAATGAATACAAAACGCAACGTTCTATGCTAAACAGCCTCATCATTTAAGACTCCGGAGAAGGTGCAGCGTGTCAATCTTGTTGTTGTTTCTATTTCATTTCGGTATTCGGTGAGAGCTTGTGGATAAAAATGGAGCCCTGGGCCGTCCAGGAATCGAAGGAAGACAAAACCTATGTAGGAGGAGAGATTTAATATCCTCAATAACAAAGACTAAAAGATCAAGGGGGCGTATTAATCCAATGGACTTTCGAAAGAGTCTAATGGAACTTTCAAAAGATCAGGGGAACAAAATCCTTGGGTATCATGGCACTCAGAAATGCAACTTTCTACTGCCAATGGAAACAAAATCTATGCTCATCCATAGCCTTCTTCTCCTACATGGCACAACGTAACTTTCAAAAGAGCCAAAGATTCTGCCATATAGGAGAAGTCTGGCATGATTGTCAATCAGAAATGGAAGTACAAGATTCCAAGAGAAATCTATGTACCAGTATAGATTGAAAACAATATCTATAATAAAGAGGCTTAACGAAGGGTAATTTATAAAAAAAAGTTTCTCATTTTTAATTTTTTTTTAGATTACCTCTTCCATATTTAGTTTTTGTTTTTATTTTTTTAATACCTTAAAAGCCCCTACATATATATAACCACGACTAGGTGAAAGCGATAGGATTGTAGTGATAGGGCTCACAATAAGACAAAGGTAATAATGATGGGTCAAAAATAATAAAGCCAAAGTAGACAATCTCGACGGAATAGAAATAATAGAGTCAAAGCGATAATGCCTTACGATGAGATTGAAACAATCGGTGAAAGTAGGAGAGTTTCGAAATAACTAACAATGCCGAGAAGGAAGTGACTACAATTAGAAATGCTACCATCACGACAAATAAAGAAAAATACAGTGATGAGGGATATTTAAGATATTTAAAAAGATATTAAATAAAAAATACAGATATTATTCCTAAAAAAGGGCTTTTTCATATAAATCGCCATTAACAAACAGTCCCACCATGTTAAGTACTTTTTTTAAAAAAAAAGGTAAGCGACATATTGGGCTTGATCCACAAGATTTGCCCTTTTGATTTTGGAGGATGCATATTAATAGATAGAGCAAGATCTTAAGATACTATGCTTTTACAAGGAACACTGTGTACAAGCAAAAGAAGATTTCTTCAATCAATCACATCCAATCCAATAGTTTATAACTCTAGGCCCATTCACGTGTGGGACTTATATGAATGGACGGATTGGATGAGAGGATCAAAGGAATTGGACGATGAAGATAGCAGAGTGAAAACAAAAAGTCACTCAGTCAACCTCTTCATGTCACGATGAGGTGCGTCTGCGTCAACCTTTTCCTCCACACAGTCCGATCGACAGCCGTCACCAAACGGTGGACCGAATGCGTCAGATTCTCCCACACTGCACGTCCCCACCCGGAGTCACTCTAATCTCCGAACGAAAAGGGACCCGCCCCTCTCGTTCACTCGATGACCGCCGTGTCAGCTGGTCGTGGCCCAACCCGCGAGGTAGTCGGGTTACCTCCCGTCAAGTCTCCAACCTAATCGTGTCACGAACCTAAAGGCCACATGTTGTGTGTGTTTGACTAAGATAAAATGAAAAAGAAATATTTAATTTGACGAAGTCCATTGTGGCGACTACACTCGTGGCAAATTTGATGGAGTCTACCGTGTCGACAACGCCGTCCCATTCCCACGTTAAACATGTCCGCATTCCAACGAGCCACTCGCTGCCTCCTTCGGTCCCATTATTGATAGCAAGAATATATATCTATATATATATACAAGAAAAAACGTGAAACAGAAAGCGAGAGGGACGAGTGCGGAGCGGAAGGCCGATGGGAAAAATGGTGTCCTCGAGGAGTGGCGTCGACCCTCGGAGCGGCTACTGCGACGCGAACTCGACCTTCTACAGCAAGCGGCCGCCCATCGCCCTTCCCGCCGATCCCAACCTCTCCGTCACCGCCTTTCTCGCCTCCCGCCGCCACTCCGGCACCACCGCCTTCATCGACGCCGCCACCGGCCACCGCGTCTCATTCACCGCCCTCTGGCGGTCCGTTGCCGCTGTCGCCACCGCCCTCGCCTCCCCTCCCCTCTCCGTCCGCAAGCCCCATGTCGTCCTCCTCCTCTCCCCCAACTCGGTCCACTTTCCCGTCGTCTCCCTCGCCGTCATGTCCCTCGGCGCCGTCCTCACAACCACCAACCCCCTCAACACCCCAGTCGAGATCGGCCGCCAGCTCGCCGACTCCTGCCCTGTCCTCGCCTTCACCACCCGCGCCCTAATTCCTAAGCTCGCCTCCGCCCCTGATCTCCGAATCGTCCTCCTCGACGACCGCCGGCGCCCATCGGACGACCGCCGGATCGTTGCCACCATCGGCGAGATGATCGCGACGGAGCCGGACCCGGCCCGGACCGCCGGCGCCGTGAGCCAGGACGACACCGCCACGCTGCTCTACTCCTCCGGCACCACGGGCACCAGCAAGGGCGTCGTCGCCACCCACCGCAACCTCATCGCCATGGTCCAGATCGTCCTCAACCGGTTCAAGCTGGAGGACGGCGCTGAGCCGGAGACCTTCATCTGCACCGTCCCCATGTTCCACGTGTTCGGCCTGGTGGCCTTCGCCACGGGGCTGCTGGGCTCGGGGTCGACGGTGGTGGTGCTGTCCAAGTTCGAGCTGGGGGAGATGGTGCGGGCGATCAACGAGTATGGGGCGACGTACCTGCCGCTGGTGCCGCCAATCCTGGTGGCGATGGCGAACCAGAGCCGGCCGCTGCCGCTGGGCCGGCTCCGGCGGGCGCTCTCAGGCGGGGCGCCGCTAAGTCGGGAGGTGATCGAGGGGTTCCGGGAGAAGTACCCCGCGGTGGAGATCCTGCAGGGGTACGGCCTCACTGAGACAACGGGGATCGGCGCCTCCACCGACTCGGCGGAGGAGAGCCGCCGCTACGGCACCGCCGGGATGCTCTCCCCCAACACGGAGGCCCGCATCGTGGACCCCGACTCTGGCGCGGCCCTCCCCGTGAACCGCACCGGAGAGCTGTGGCTTCGCGGTCCCTACGTCATGAAAGGTACGGGGCAAACGACTCGCCCCACCTGCTTTCACAATCCGTCATAACGCCCAACGCCGAAGCCGTTACAAACTATTATGACGGGCTGTTATCAGCCGTTACAGCACGTTCTTTAGGGCATAAGTGATATAACAGACTCCGATATTGTCGATTAATAGTGAAACAACGTGTTAATTTTTCCGTTATAACGGCCGTTATAATGGAAAGCAGTAGTTGTTTGGTAATGTGATTCGCTGGTGGTGGATTTATTTACAGAGTATTTCAAGAAGCCGGAGGCGACGAGGACGACGCTGGTGGAGGACGGATGGCTGAGGACGGGAGATCTGTGCTACATCGACGAGGACGGATACCTCTTTGTGGTCGACCGGCTAAAGGAGCTGATCAAGTACAAGGGATACCAGGTAATAAGACTCGGCTTACGGAGTCGACTCCTGCTGGTTACTAACGCACGTTGGATCTGATGAAATGGTGGATGTTTGTTCTTATCTCTGATCGATTAGGTAGCACCGGCGGAGCTGGAGGCCCTGTTGCTGACACACCCTGACATCGCCGACGCTGCAGTGATACCGTAATAATCTCTATCAAGCAATTATTGTCAAGCTGTCGAGCATTCCACCGCAATCGATCGGTAAAACTGTGTACTGTAATGAATGCAGGTATCCGGATAAGGAAGCTGGTCAGATCCCAATGGCGTATGTGGTGAGGAAGGATGGGAGCAATTTGTCTGAGGAGGAAGTGATCAAATTCGTAGGGAGACAGGTATATATGCATTCGAACATTTCCTATCCGTGGCATATAAGCGTAAATCTGACGTAGTTTCCTGCAACTATCGATTTCTCTTGAAATTTAGGGAATGAAAGGTCGTGCATCTTCGCACTGTAATAATGCTATCCGTCCCGTCAACTATTTGATGCGATGGCATTGATATTGCTCCTATGGTAAAGTAGTATCAGAAAGGAAAAAAATCATCTATTCAAAACTTATTCAGGCCACACATTAGAAATATATACAATTTCCGATGAATTCAAGTTTTGCAAGTTGGGTTATGTCGATCTCTCTCTCTCCATACATGAGGTCTTATTTACGGGCTACAATCGATTGTTTGTTTGAACTCTTTGATGTCAATTATTATGATAGTGTAGTGAAGCTACAGATTATAAGAGTTGCTTTGTCTGATACGTCCTGCATTTGTGATACCAATAATAGGTGGCTCCATACAAGAGAATCCGCAAGGTAGCATTTGTATCGGCCATTCCAAAGAATCCGTCAGGGAAAATATTAAGGAAAGACCTGGTCAAGCTCGCCACCTCCAAGCTGTAGCGACTCAAACTTGGATTTCCTTGGGATGCATAAATATACAAAATATTGAACGTGTAATGTCAAGTGTATCAAGGTAATCCTTAAATGTTTCCTACAAACCTGTTGTGTATGTTAATAATCAAGTGCCTTTGGAGACAATAATGAATTATCTTCTATCGGTTCGTAGAAAATATGTTGGTTTGATTGCCTTGTGTTCAAGTATTTTATTGATTGATTTATTTATGTTGTGTCAAGTATTTTGTTCCTCGTCTCTCGCATATGGATTCATAGACAAGCAGGAAAGTCCACAATATTGGAACTTGTGTGATCCACATGTACTGTTGTTTGAGACAGATGGTGAAACCCAAAGAGGATGATGTGGCAAGTTCAATGACCTGATAATATATTATGTTGGATCTCCTGCCCGACCTGTGCAACAGCCAACTACGAAGTAAAGCACCTACATGCAACCGTTGGTTGGCACGTTGGCAAGGCTGTGCGATCACGTGGGTGTCCCGAGTTCCGCACAGCGGAAGTGACACCACACTGTGTCGAATAATTTCATATATCCATGGATCATTTAAAAGAATAAGATGGAACAGACTATTAACTCCAAAAGCCACATGAGACGTAGTCATACAAGTGCTTTTTCGATGATGTGATATTTCCCAGGCTAAGTTTTTTTTATTATTTTATTTCATTTTTTTCTTGCAATGTTGTTTTAATATTAACCAAAGAAATACGTAAAAGAGGACCCCGATCTGATCGGCGGAAACCATGGAGATTGATCGAAAAGAGTGACGAAACTCGTGGATTAACGTGGGGCCCGCGGCTGACCGGGCTCTGATGCCCGGGCCTCGATGCGTGCACCTGCTTCTGCGTCGCGTTAAGTTGGTCGGGTGTTGGTGTCAGATGAAGGGGTTGTGTGTGTGTGTGTGTATGTGTTTGCAGCATAGGACGAAATATCCGGGTAGGGCGACTGCCGCGTTCTCGTTGTGTTGTTGACCCCACAACGCGTCAACCTTGGCCGGCCAAAAGATGGGATGGAGACACCGAAGAAACGAGCTCCCACAGCCTGTGTGCATCGGCAGCTCCCACACCGACACACTCAATCTTATATACGCTTGCAGTTGCTAAACAGGTAGAAGAAGAAGAAGAAGAAGATGGTCGTAGGAAAGTTCAGGCGCTCAGAAACCTTTCCGGCCCCGAAGCCTGCAGGGGGCCGCGCCGCCGCCGCCAAGAGCTCCTTCCGCACCCGATGCATCAGTCTCCCCTCCCGCTCCCACCCCA